GTCCGGTTGACATAAAATTAGTGATCGCAGAAATGGAGAACTTATGTTTACAAACAAAATGATTAGATAAAAAAACAATGGACACAATAACATGCAGGCCAGTGGAGAAGGGGGGCTTCCTGATTGGAGTGAGTGCATTCTAAATTCCTTATATAGCTGACCATTGAACAACATGAGTTTGAATAGCATGGGTCCATTTACATACTGATGCTTTTATAAATAGAGTATAGTACTATAAAGGTGCTTTCACTTCCTTATGATTTTCTTATTAACATTTTCTTGACTTTACTGTAAGAATATAGTGTGTAATACATATAACATACAAAATGTGTTAATTGACTACGTTATCATTAAAGCTTCCTACCAACAGTAGGCCATTAGTAGTTAAGTTTTGGGGAGTTAAAAGTTATATGTGGGATTGCTGACCACACAGGGAGTTGGTGCCCCTAACTCCCATGTTATTAGGAGCCAACTGCACTCAGAATTACAAAGGAGATATGATTAGATTAGATATGGGTTCATTTTAAATTAATAATGAAAAATTAATAAGAATATAGAAGATTTAAATAATACAATGAAAAATCTTGGCCTAGTGGACATACCTGAACCCTGTATCTGAAAATTAGGAACTTTATTATTTTTTAAAGACCTGTAAAATATTTATAAAAGTGGATTGCAAATGAAAACACCAAAGGATTGTGGGGATGAGCACTGAGTGTTATGTGGAAACTAATTTGACAATAAACTATTTGTAAAAAAAAAAAGAAAACACCAAAGGAAGTCAAAAAGATATCCCCAAATGAATATAAGCATCGCACACTTTGACCAAAATGATTAAATTAGACATTTGAAATAAGTTTTTAAATAATTTATGGATCAAAGATAAAATCATAATGGAAGCTACAAAATATTTATAAATAAATGAGAATAACACTTGGGGCATGTAGCTAAAGCAGAATTTAGAGGAAAATTTATAGCCTTAAAAAGTATATGTTAAATTATTACACTTTTATATTACAAAGATAGAAAGTCTGTAAAAAAACAGTACAATGAACTCCAAGTGGAAAGCCGAAAGTAATGAGGAAAAGGATGAATTAAATGAAATTGGAAAGAATGAAGCAGTAGAGAGACTTAACGAAACCAAAATTTAGTTTCTTAAAAATACTAGTGAAATGAACTGACCTCTAGTAAGACTGATAAATAAAAAAGTTTACACAAGTTAATATTAGACTGTCTAAGGTAAACTTAATTGCAGATCCAGACATTAAGTCAGAGTGATGGGTACATGAATGTTTGTTAGGCTCTTGAAATATTTCACAGAAAGCAGGGGTGCCTGGGTGGCCCAGTCAGTAAAGCGACTGACCCTTGGTTTTGGCTTGGGCTATAATCTCACAGTTTTGTGGGTTTGAGCCCTGCATCAGGCTCTGCACTGGCAGCAAAGAGTCTGCTTGGGATTATCTCTCTCCCTTTCTCTCTGTCCTTCCCCCACACATGCTGTCTCGGTCTCTCTCGGGTTAACTAAATAAACTTAAAAAAATTTTTCACAGAGAGCAGATTCTCTTCTTAGACATTATGCCGTAGTCCATACATTGCCTATTGCCTGTCTTCTGTAGCATGCTTCAACAGGTACCAGTTCTCTCCTGTCCTTGTGCATGTAGCCCCAAGTGCATTCCTGCTTTATATGTAGTTGGTAGAAAGTTGAAATTCTAGCAATTGATTGAATCAGCGACAGGGGGTGAACTGTGAAATCAACAGGAGGAATGCATCTAGGAAAGGTTACGGAGGACCAAAGTCTCCTGTCCACATACGGTCTAAAAAGATGGATGCAACTTGGGCTTAGGTAGTAGCTGGCCCAGGGGCAGCTTGTATGAAAGGCACTGGCTTCCTTGAGCCTTTCTTATTCTTAGCCATCCCAGGACTGTCCCAACTGCCTTTCCTTACCTGTTAGATACTGTTCATCCCTTTTGCAGTTCTTATCTTCAGCATATATGCATAAAAGTAAGTTGGCGCTCTCTGGCTTGGATCTGAGACACAGGCATACTTTTATGAAGCTTAAGTGCTAAAATCTGCAAACGGGGGCCAAACATATCCTGGGTCTGTAGCCAAGGCCTTGACTCCCTATTTATTATCACTTTCTCTCTCGCTCTAAAAAATAGCAGGTTGCAAGAAGGGAAAAGACATTTTACTGAGTTTAAAATGAATGTGGATTCAATACATAGTTTTTACTATTCAGTTTTAAATGATTGACTTCTTCTCGCAAGCTCTCTCTGATTTGAATAGTGTTCTATTCAATACATTCAGACTGTTTTTTAAAAAGCTTATTGGCTATGGTGAGGAAAGTTTCTTTTTTCTATAATATTTCCTTTCCTTCCCTCACAAAATAAGTGACTTTCATCGTCTTGTGTCCTAGAGTATTTTCCCTTCCCTTTTAAAAAATTTTCTTGACCTTTATTTATTTTTGAGAGAGAGATAACAGAGAGTGCAAGTGGGGCAGGGGCAGAGAGTGATAAAGACACAGAATCCGAAGCAGGTTCCAGGTTCTGAAATGTCAGCACAGAGCTTGACAAGGGGCTTGAACCCATGAACTGTGAGATCATGACCTGAGCTGAAGTCGGATGCACAGCTGACTGAGCCACCCAGGCACTCCTTCCCTCCTCTATTTTAATAAGAAGAGCCTTTGATCTATGGTCTGCTGTGAGTTATCATACAGTTTGATATGAGATCAGTGATTTTCCAGAGGAAAGAACCTTTGGTCATGTTATCTGGCCGTTTATAGATTAATAATCTTTTCCTCACATGGGTGTGAGAACAGTAGAACATCTTAGTTATGACCAAGTACATGTGGGGAAGGTGCTGTTGTTTGCTCGAGACGTGGTATGAGATCACAGGGACCTTAAAAGAATGTGTCTGTCACTACTGTCTGTTAACTGAGGGGCTGACCAGAGAGAGAACCCTCAAAGAAGGTCACCAGATGCATGAGCAAGTGCTTTTGTCCCCTCCAACTGGCCAGGCCTTAGAATTAAGTTGGGAAACCGAGTGGAATTAGCATGGACGTTACTATCTAATGCTGTTTTTGCAATGATCTATTCTTTTACAATAACGTGATTGGCTGTTTCATATTCCCAATATTTATACCACATATCCATGGTCATTTTTTTTCAGAGATTAAATAGAGTCTGACTTAAGCTTCTGTGAAGCAAATGCCTTCCTTTGATTTGGTTCTTGCTATCACTTACACTTTAACAGAATAACAAAACAGCCACTGTAGCTTTTGTCTCTAGAGACACACAAGAACTGTTTAAGTTAGTGAACGCAGATAGTATTGTCATTTTCTACAGAATATAGTGAGCCTGAGAGGTTTTGTATTCCATAACTTTGCCCAGGCTGAAGAGCTAGTTGTAGAGATGAGGAATCCTATCCAGCCCTGTCAGTGCTCAGGCCTCCGGTGATGATGCTCTATTTAGGGTTCCAGATATGGCTTCTGCACTTGCGGTTACAAACACATTTACAAATGGCTAAGTACATAAACATTGCTATCAGCATGCAGAATAGGAAATAATTAAACAATAGGAAACAATTAAAATAAGTGTTACTTTTTCTCTGTGGGCTCAGTGCTGTGCTTTAGTGAAAAAGACGTAATTTCCTTATTTCTTTATACAGTATTTACTAACATTCATCATATCTGTCAGTGTTCTTACGGTGCTGGACTTGGAAAAGAACATAGTAATCTAAAAAAAAAAAAAAAGATGGGGCGCCTGGGTGGCTTAGTCGGTTAAGCGTCCGACTTTCGCTTAGGTCATGATCTCGCGGTTCGTGGGTTCGGGCCCCGCGTCGGGCTCTGTGCTGACTGCCAGCTCAGAGCCTGGAGCCTGTTTCAGTCTGTGACTCCCTCTCTCTCTGACCCTCCCCTGCTCACGCTGTCTCTCTCTCTCCTAGAAATAAATAAAACATTAAAAAAAAAATTTTAAAAAAAAAAAAAAAGAAAAGAAAAAGACCCCAAATCATCTCCACGTGAATGATGTTGATATGTGGTCTCTGTTCATTCTATTAACTAGATAATTATCCAAAATGCATTTTAGTTTCTGTTTGGGTAGACGCTAAGCTGTTTTGCTGAATGTTTGGGAATCCTTCCATTGGAGGACATGGGAGGATTGATTCCTAGGCAGCACTTGACTTAGCTTTAATTTAGGTGCTTGCCTTCCTCCCATGCAGAGAGAGGAAGAGGAGTTCAAAACAGCAGGGCTGGAATCGCTTGCCTCCAGTTGCTAAGGGTGTGACCTGCTATAACATTCTTCGTTAGATGCTTCGCTCAGTCTTTCTTCTATAGTAGTTCCAGGGGTGAGGTTAATTTAACTTGCAGTTGGATATGTGGAGGCATATTTTGGGGTAAAAATTTATATATATATATATATATATATTTTTTTTTTCTTCCTTAAGTTTCCTTCAGTTGTTAGTCAGTGTTACCTACTTTCCTCATCTGTGAAATGGACATAATGTTTTGTGGCAGTTGATGAGAATTATTTTAAAAAGGTTTCTCAGAGATGCTTTCTTGGGTAAAAGTTATTTTTATTGACATCACTGAAGTCTGATCCGCCCTCATTAAGCTCTCCATGTACCTATGCTTAGTTATAAAATACTTACCTGCAAAAGGTAAATATTTATTTTCTGATTGTTCATGTTGCGTTTTTGTTTTTTTTTTTCCTCCCCCAAGCAGGCTTTTCCAGAGCTAATTTATCTGCAAAGAGACATATGCTTTAGGTCTGTACTTGTTAATTTACCTTGGAAAAATTAGGTCATCTTCAAATCTGGCAATGTGGCTTAAAAACTTGGCAAAATGATCTAATTAAAAGCTTCCCTTGGATTAAAAAAAAAAAGGAAAAACTTATTAGTTACAGTAATGTTTTCATTTTCATAGTTTGTGTGTATGTAGGTACATGTCAGTCCTCATGCCACATTAGAAGTATGTTGACTGTTAACAGTTCATCTCTTTTCTTCTACAGCCTCCAAGTCTGTTATAAATAGTATGCTACGGGACCCTTCTCAGATTCCAGATGGAGTTCTAGCAAATCAGGTCTATCAGGTATTAATCACAGCTGTCTATTTTCAGTGGCAGCGCTATCTGCCTAGCAGAGTAAAGGATTTTAAACCTCATTTAATTACTGTCATCATAAACTATCACTGAGGTCAGGGTGCACCATAAATGGCAATGCAATATTTGTGAGAAGAGCATTTCACTTTTTAATAGCTTGCTTTTATAGTGAATAAAAAGCATGTGATTTTTGTTTTCTGTGATTAAATCTTAACAGCTTTCTGATAGCTGGGGGTTTTTTTAGATTTTTTTTTTAAGAAAAATAATTACCACTTTTAGGGTACTAGTTAACAGTCACCGTTTTCAGAGTCACCCCAGACCCCCTTCTGTGTTTTCTCCACAGTGCATCGTGAACGACTGCTGTTATGGACCACTGGTAGACTGCATCAAACAGTATCCTTTCCCATAAAATTTTAGGTGCACGATTGACGAGCTCAGACTCAGTGGAGGAGATGTGTCTAGCTTTAACCTGACATAAAGTTCTGCTTCACAAAACACATTTCATACCCTTCTACTTTACATTCAATCAACCGGGGGTCACTGCAGACCATCCTTTTCTACAGCTTAAGGAAAATCAGATGGGCCACGGGAGGCTGTCAGTTCAGCGGTTGTACATTCACACGCTTCTCTCAAACTGCTTGGCTTTCAGGGAGTTTAAAGGGACAGAATCATCAAGCACGGGGCCTACTGTCTGGGAGTGTCTCTCAACAATCCAGTGAACACTGAGAAAAATGTAGAGGATTTCTGTATAAAAGGAGCCAAATTCAGTTGAGTTTCCTAGCATAAATTTTGAGCCTGGAGTTAAAGGATGAAGTGATTAAAATGCCGCGGAGGCCATCACTTTTGAAAGGGCAGTAGATTCTTGTTGCTTAAATGCTGATTACAGCCTGAACTGCCATTCGGATCCCTAATAAACAGTTTTCGAGAAACCAAGCTCGTTTTTCCCTCTGGACTGAATTTAAGGCTATGAAAACAGGTGTCCAGTCACTCTTCATTAGAGACGTGAGATTACTAAAGAGTTCATGCTTTCTTCTTGAAATGGGATTTGAGCAAACATTCACTGCTTCCTGAAGTAGGATGTTACTCATCAGTACCTTCAGTAGCACTATGGCATTGCTGAGAATTTTGATAACCCTTGGTGGAAAATGCTACTTAAAGAGTAAACAACTAGTAATTTCTTTTTTTAATGAAAATCCTATTCCACCTGAGTCCACGTGTCTCACATTTCTTAATACTGTAAAATGGCCTTCCGAGTGTAGGTTTGGTGAGTGTGGGTAGTGCTGTGACCATTTGGAAGTATGACCAGTCAGGAAGCTTTAGACCTCTCGTAAGAATATTCACTACCTAAATTATAGGCCTTTATATATTTATTCTTCAAGTATGTCCCTGCCCCCCCACCAAAGTAGTTTAAATTAATAAAATCACAGCACTGTCATACGCTTGCCTTTTTATTAGATCAAAGTGAAACTATACTTCTAGTTTCAGTATAAAATTAATGATAGCATTAAATATTGTAGGAGTGCCAACCTCATGTTGCTACAGTGATAAAGTTTAGCACATTTGTATAACAACTAACACCATCTCGGAGTATCTGGGGCGGAATTACATGTTAATTTTAAAGCACATAAAATAGTTAAAAATCAATTTAAAGTTAAGGTTTTAAAAGCATAATGTCTTTTGAAGGATTGCATATTGATTTTAAATATAACTATCTAATTATATATGCATGGACTAAAGTATGAAGTCAACTGCTTTGTAAATGCCAGGAGGCTATTTTTCAGTAATAGTTGAGATGCTTACGGGAAACTAGATTGCTGTATTGCTGGCTAAGAAAATGGCTTGTGAGGTTATTTACAAGTTTTGCCCCATGGTCACTGCCATACATCAATAATAGGTATTATTATGGACAAAGTCTAAGTGTTTTCTGCTTATAGAGCATTATAAATTCTGTTCAGAGTATTTTCTTTACATTTTTGCCATCATTCACTTTCTTTTTTTGGCTGTGTTATTGCCAGTAGAATTTAATGTAGTACATGGTTTCAATTGATAAAGATAATGATGTATGTCTATAAATTGCATTCACTGACTAGATTATAATTTTGCAGTTCCGTTATGCCTATTGCCAGTAAAATTACTGTTTTTATAAGCTTTGTTTTCTAGACTTTGTATTTTTTTATATGTTTATATCAAGCAAAGCATAATCAAGAAGCATGTTTTTCCAAAATTTCAAATCGGTGATTGCTTTTTACCATACAAAATAAAACAAGCTGGGAAATTTATAGAGAACTGATTTTATTTTTGCACTGAGGTAGTAGCAGTTTTGTATAATATAAATACGCTTGCATAGATGTTTCCTAGACTGAGCCACAGGAATTACTTTATTTCACACTGAATAAAAATTAGTGGTTTTCCATGTGAGTGAAAATGCTATTTGTATGTTGTTCTGATAATTCAGTAGTGTTTACATTGCTTACTGTCGGCAAATTACATCATTTTGTAAGAAAGAAAGTACACATTTAGTAAATAGAATAGGTGCAAAATCTTTTTACTCCATTATGAAAATGTTACATGTAGACATTTATGTAAGTAGAATAAAGTAAATTGGTCATTTACAAATAAGACATCACAAAAAGCACGGTAGCAAAGAGTATATAAATTGTCATGTGCTTTCTTTTTTTTCTTTTGGTGTCTTCTACATTTTTTCCTGCATAGCCATGTCCGTCCACACCTTTCCTGCCACAGATATGTTCATGGACACAAAAAGGTGTGAGAAACCAGCCATCTTAACTTGCCAAACTGTGACTCCAGGACCCGGCTATTACACAATGACCTAAACCAAGAAGCAAGGAAAGATAATGGTGCAGGAAGCTTAAAACGCTGTGGGTTTCATTTCTGTACCATCAGTAACCTCAGTTTCATGATTCAACATTTTAGATGTAAATAATTTACAACAATAAAAGTGAGGGCACATTTACATGGATTAGAAGTAAATAATTTAGTTCTAAAATGTGGGATGCCCCTAATAATGAGAAACCATTGAGAGGTATTTATCAGATGTCTTCAGGGGACTCTGTAAATGTGTGAAATTGTATGATTTGAAAATGTGTTCCTTTAGTTTGTTTCCAATTAGAAATTAAATAAGCACAGCCACATGCATAGCGGGACGACAGAAGAAAAGAATGCAGTTATGACTGGGGGCTCATTTTGATGGTGGACATGAGTGGACACATCTCTTGAATTATGATTTAAATGATATTCACCTGTATGTATTGATGAAGGACAGATGATTCTCTAGGAATTTTTTTTAACAAATAATGCATACATTTTATTTCATCTAAATTGGACTCTTACAGTGCATGATCAGGTAGCTAAGGAACGATATGACCATGTTGACCTTACCCAATGGAAAATCAGATAATTATTGCCAACTGCATTTGAAAAAATCGAAGTACCAAAATACGATTACACTCCTTTTCCGATTTTGTACAGTTTCATCTTTTTGGAAAATAGAGGAGAATTCCAAGTCCCATTCCTTTTGTTAAAAGATGTTATTTTTAAGTAATCTCCACACCCAACGTGGGGCTCGAACTCACAACCCCAATATCAAGAGTCACTTGTTCTGCTGACTGAGCCAGCCACGTACCGCTAAATCTCATTGCTGATTTAATTATTTGCCAGCCATGGGACCTTCCGGCAACTTCCTCAACCCTCTTGAACCTTACTTTCCATATTTATAAAAATGGGACTAATAATAGTACCTATTCTTGTGGTGGTGGTGAAAGTTAAATTAGATGATACCCCAAGTGAAAATGCAAATTAAAACTACAGTAAGCTACCACCTCACACCTGTCAGAATGGCTATATCAAAAAGACAAGAAATAGTGTTGGCAAGGACATAGAGGCAAAGGAACCCCTGTGCACTGTTGGTGGGAATACAAACTGGTACAGGTGCTGTGGAAGACAGGATAGAGGTGCCTCGGAAACTTAAAAATAGAACTACCCTATGATCCAGCGATCACACCTCTGGGTATTTACCCCCAAAATACAAAAACATTAATTCAAAGGGATACATGCACCCCGTTGTTATAGCAGCATTGTTTATAATAGCCAGGATAGGAAAGCAGCCCAAGTGTCTGTCAATAGGTGAAGGGATAGGGAAGATGCAGTTTGTGTGTGCGTGCATGCACGTGCACACACACACACACACACAATGGAATATTGTTCAGCAATAAAGAAAATGAAATCCTGCCATTTGCAAGGACATGGATGGATCTAGAGAGCATAATGCTAAGTGAAATAAGCCCAGATTAAGACAAATACCTTATGACTTCACTCATACGTAGCATTTAAGAAACAAAACAATGGAGCAAAGGAAAAAGAGAGAGAGAGAGAGAGAGAGAGACAAACCAAGAAATAGACTCTTAACTATAGAGAACAAACTGACGATTACCAGAGTGGAGGTAGTAGAGGGATGGGTGAAATAGTGATGGGGATTAAGGGATACACTTGTCATGATGAGCACTGGGAAGTGTATGTCAGTGTTCAATCACTATATTGTATACCTGAAACATAACACTGTATGTTAACTCTACTAGAATTAAAGTTTTTTTTTTTAATTTAAAAAATTTTTTAAAAAGGGGGGGGCACCTGGGTGGCTTAGTTGGTTACACACCCGACTCTTGATTTCGGCTCAGGTCATGATCTCACAGTGCATGGGTTTGAGCCCCACATCGGGCTCTGTGCTGGTGGCACAGAACCTGCTGGGGATTCTTTCTCTGTCCCTCTCCTCCACCCCTCCCCTACTCACGTCCATGCTCACTCACTCTCTCAAAATGAATAAACATTTTTTAAAAATTAAGGAAATGATAGGCTGGGATGGTAGCTGAAAGTAGTAAAAATTTGGTATCGTATTTAGTTGTAAGTTGACACCAACAAGAACTACCAATGAATTGAGAAGAGTGTGAGAGAAAGCTAGGAGTCCAGGACTCTTACATTTTGGCTTGAACAGCATGGAGTTGTCAGTAACTAAGATGGTAAGGAAACAAATGGTGTGTGCATATGTGAGTAGCTGAATGTAATGGGTCTGTGAAGCTGTAACAATAAAATAACCAGTTATTGAGGACTCCCCCACAAAAAAGATGATACCCTCAGTGGTTAGCACCAAGGCTTAGTCTATGGTATTTAAGAACTGTGGGCTGGTATCAATTAGTTTCACATAATTAATTTGAATACTTTCCAAGAAGTTGTATGGAGGCCATAAGCAAAGACTTTGTAGAGATCTTATTCAGATCCTCTGCTTTGCCACACATTAACCAGGTGACCTTGTGTGGTTTCTTTTCTAAGCCTTGGTTTCCTCATCTATAAAATGAGGATGATAATAACTGAGCATGAAATAACATACATATGGCACTTAACACAGTGCCTACCGCATAGTAATCCCTCCAAAAATGTATATGTGCTTGTGTGTGTCTGTTTCTGTGTTAGATGAGAATATGTGTGCACTTGCGCACACGAGAGAAAGGCTGGAAGCAGCCTCTGTAGCAGCATGTATGACCTCTTTCTTCCGGAGTACATAGAATTTGCAACAAATCAGCTTCCCACCTCACAGAAGATCACTAACAGTAGGCTAAAAGTGAGCAGGAGCTAGAAATGCTGGCTGGGGACAAGTATGGATTCTTCGAAGATATATGGAACTCTAAGACTGGAAACTCTTTTAGAGCAAAGCCAGGTTGGGATACTTTGCCACACTTAGTAAGTGGTTAATAAATGTACTAAATTGAGGGATTTTTAACATAGTACAAAGGCTGTTTAAAATGGCTCCCCCTCCTTTCAAAGGAGATAAAGTACACATCCATTTACAAATCTTTATTTGCCAAAATGCATGTAAACATTATAGAAAGAAAAATTTCATTGAATCACTTAAATGAGGGCACGTGTATAGAAGTCCCTTTCCTCAGACATGTGAGCTAAATGTGGAAATAGGTGCTCTGATTCCCTCCATTTTCCGTTTCATCTGAAAGTGGAGACCTGAATGAGCATTTTCTTTTTAATTATATACTTCCACCTGTGTTACTCTCCTTAACTAAAACTTCCCAGTGCCATTGGCCATGAGCATGAAGTCCTGCTGAGAGACTTGCTTCTGGAGAAGAACCTGTCCTTCCTAGGTAAGTATTACTTACATCCTCTCTAGCTTGTAATATCTCCATGAGTACTTAAATATATATTTTTAAAAATCTTCCACTTGCAGTTATTATGTACTAAAGGAAGAGAGAAAAATGATTGATGCTGTGCACGTTATCTTTTATTGACTTAGAACTGAGCAGGAACTCAGTTACCTAATCTCTATCTATATAGCACATGCATAGGCTTGCAATTAATATTTTATAGTATAAGTGGCTGAAAAAATGCTTTAATATCTGTTGCAGTATTACTTTTGGTGTCATGAGGTATTAGCCATAATCTAGACCTGATGAGAGGAAAAAAACACAAGAAATACTGTCTATAAAATGCTCTATATGTTAAAAAGAATAGTTAGAAAAATTCATGTTGGGTATGTTTGTCTCATGTATGTAATCAGATAGTAGTTGTACTTGGAAGCCAGATATTAAGCTTTTATTATTTTTATGTGATACATTAATTGTTACCATAGATTTAGTGTGATCTTTAAAATATCACATGTATACATGGCCATGTGCTTTTTCATGTGCCAATGTAGAATCTTGCTACCGTTTGTTATTTTTTCAACATCATGAAGCATTGAAAATAAGCCTTGAAGAGCATACATGTGATAACTGATCATAGAAACCCTAAAGCACTCTACAGTGAATTAATTCTTCTTCTCCATTGTAAATGTAATTTGTAAAGGTTCTATACAAACCTAAGCGTGCATTTTACACATCTGTTCTTATGTAAATATTTAAGTTGCATAGTGTGCTTTTTTTTTAGGTTAAGAAAAATCGCAGAATATTGGGCTACACTATCTTTGTTCCAGAATGGACAAAGATTTGACCAAGTAAAGTCCATTAAAAAGTCTTATGTCAAGCTGGGGAGGGATGTTGAAGACAGGCCTACAAAAAGCCTGTTTTAATTGTTAGTATTCAAAATTTTTATTAATGAACTGGAGAATGGAGTTGAATGTGTAGTAAATTTGTTAATAATTTTAAGATAAGAGAGCTCATAAATATTCTCTAACAGGGGCTAAGGAAAGTTGATAAACTAGGAAAATGGCCTCAAATTAATGAGTTAAATTTCAGTATGTAAAAGGAGCAAGTTTCTTCATGTAAGGACAACTGAAATGTTCAGCTTAGTGAAAGAGGGTAAATTAGATAGAAATCACCTTTTAAAATCTAATAAAAAATATTGAAAATAAAAGCATAAATTCATGGGTTAGGTTAAAAAATATGCATACAGTGTATACATATGTATGTGTATATATTTGTGTGTGTGTGTGTGTGTGTAGCACCCACAGACAATAAAGAAACCATCTTCCAGAAAAAAATCTAATCAGACATAGACTTTATAATGGCTCAGAACCCATTGGAATGGATGACCCATGACGTGTTATCATGGCATATGTCTTAGAACTATGGAGTTCTGATAGTATTATGATGTATCAGATCACGTTGATCACTCAGATAGTTGCCAGTGTAGCATGGCCAAATCTATTTTACTGTTTTGAAGTCACCAAGTAAGCCCCCATATTTTGAGGACTGTTTGGTATTACTCTCTTGGCTCCATCTACTTATGGGTAGTCAGGCCCTTGGCACCATTTCTTTGCTTAGCCTAGCTTTTCTGTTTCCTTTATGAGAACTAGAAGACCCCAACAAGAAGAGCAAGAGGCTTAACTGAGTTCCAGGTCCCTTGAGTCCCTTGATTCTGGGAACTGTGTTCGACTGGATTGAGTGAGCTTAGCTAACAATGACCATGCATGCAGAAACATAGCCAGGAAGTCATTAGTACTTGCATACAAGTTCGGAAAAGGGACTTAGTATTTGGATCCCATTTAGTTCTCTGTGCTATAGGATCAGGAGATAATTATTTTATTGAAGCATACCCAACAGTGATACTTAACTGATCTTTAAAATAAATGAGTTATGGGATGTTTAACTGACTCCATGTAACCTCAGTCCTGTTTTTAAGCATTTCCTTACCAACAGCGAAGTTTAAGTTTCAGGTCAGTTCCTGTCAGTTCTTTCCAAGGAGAGTTCATATAGAACTAACTTTTATAGATCAGCATTTAAAGTCTGAGAAGATCGTGAAGAACATGCTACGTACTTCGAGGCTGGGATGCACACAGCACCCTTCTTCACTGTCTCTTTCAATCCAGCTACTTTCGGGGGAGTGCTTTTCTTGCTCCATCCCAATGTATCACACTCTCCCCCTTTCTCTTCTCTGTCCTCGCTCCATAAAAACAGCTCCCTACCCTCCTCGGCTTTTCTCTCCCCCAGTTCACCTCCCTGCACCACACACCAGCTGCCAAGTTCTGTGGCTCAAGTTATACAGGTTGTTGTGTTAATCCCCAGATCAATTTCCTACGTGTGCAAAACGATTTGGTGCTGATCTAGCTGTGTTTCAGGGACGAGACAAGCTCGGGGTCTCCGTGCAGCTCTGCCATTTTAACTCCACTCTCCTGGAAAGGCTTCACAAAGAGCGCTTCTTAAACTTGAAATTGACCAACAAGCACTGTGATTATCCATGTCCCCTCTGCTAAGGGTTTGTTCCATTCCTGATATCAACAAAATAGAAAATGGACTTGAACTACTGATGGAGATGTTTTGACTTTTATCTCTCAAATGATTGATAAGGCCATGTTTTGTTGTTATTACTCCCCTACCCCCATCTCCTTCTCAGGGGTAAGGAGGGGCTTTGGAAAAAAGGCAAGGGAGGAGAGGAAAATAGGGAGAAGACTGTTTGTACTGTGAGGGGGCTATGAAAGAGCTTAGAGCAAAGGCTGGAGACAAACCGTTCATCCCCCATGGGCTGGCATGTCTCCAGGTCAGAGGGACTTTCATTAGTGGCTTCCACAGCCCTGTCTGGTGCAAATTCTTATTACGTTTGGCTTAATAAGAATGGCTCTGGAGATATTTTATCCTTCCCAGTGAATGTTGCCCTGTTAGTGGAAGCTAACAATTATTTTGACTGACACCTGAGAGGCATTTGCTTTCTCTCCACCTCGCCCTCCCGTGTTCGGTCTTGCCTATGACAAACCAGCACACTTTACATGGGTATTTTTCTAGCATTCATATATTACGCTGTGGGATTCCAGGAGGCTATAATCTGTAAAGCCAGGTAGGCTTAGTGAGGGATGTCCCTTGCTGTAAAAATTAGGATCTTTGTTTCTAAGAGTTCATCTGCTCCTGCTGCTTTATTCCCCACCTGAAGCGGTAGTGCTCTGCTGGGGAAGTGATTATGATGTGACAAACGGGGGATTGTGACTTCAGGAGAAGAACCAGCAGCAGGAACAGATGAGATTGAGAGTACTAAGGTTGTGTTTGTGTGCAGATGTTCGCAGTCGAGAATAAGTGACTAGGAATCAAACATATGATTATATAGGCTAAAGAGAATGGACACGGTGGGTATTTCATAAGGGATCAACTATTTAGGGGTACCTGGGTGACTCAGGCAGTCAAGTGTCTGACTCTTGATTTTGGCTCAGGATATGGCCTCACAATCGAGACCCACGTTGGGCTCCAGGCATGGAGCCTGCTTAAGATCCTCTTCCTCCCTCTCCCTCTGCCTCTCCCCCATGCATGCTCTCTCTCTCTAAAAAAAGAAAAAGGGTATCAACTGTGTTCATTCCTAGCTCTCTAAAGGCTAAAAAGTAAGACAAAGTTTTCAGAATAACAGGTATATGATATTGGAGATGAGATATGGGGGATTGGGTCCTGTTCTTCCTTCCCGAGGAAATGGTCATGATGCAGGATCCTCTTATCCCCCTTATTGAATATGCTTGTGTGTGTTTCTCCCTGGGACCAAGAGAAAAGAACTGTGGGTACATACATGCCGTTAGAAGACAACACACTCTCTACCTTTGACGACAGGTTACCTTGTGCACTTACTATAGTAGTCTTTCTGCTCTGGACCCTTCCCTCACCATGGCCCTGGTTAGAGAATTCTTATCTATTGCTTGTCTGATTTCCTGGCCACTAAAGAGATATTGGAACTCTTGGTTGTGATGAAAATCTAATCAAACTAAATTATATATGCACACACACAAGGAGAAATTAACTGGTTCAGCAGTATACCTGGAAAATCCAAAGGAGAGAAGTTTTATTCTGGTGTGTGTAGAATCCAGAAGACAGAAAACAATGTCATTAGTATCTCTTTTCTCCCTCTTAGCTTCTGCTTTTTTCAGTGTTGGCTTCATTCTCAGGCAACAAAGATGATCCCTGGTTGTTGCTAGTTTGTTTATTCCTTCCACCCAGGAAAAGCTGTTGATTCTCTTTTGTTCCATAATGAATCTGAGGAAGGACTCTAGTTAGCTAGTCTGGGTCAGGTGTCCACCCTGGGGCTGATAGTTGGGGGGGGGGGGGGACACATTATTGGTCACCAGAATCACATCGTAAGGAGGATGGCGGTGCCAAACAGGATGGGATGCAGGACAAAAGCTCAAAACATCTCCACAAGTGATGGAGCGTTAGTCCCCCAAAACAAAAGGCACTGGGAGTCAAATCTGATCCTGCTGTTGTGGGATTGGTTGTGTATGTGTGTGTGTGTGTTGTGTCTCAGAACTGCTACTGTTCCTTTCGTCATCGAGATTGGCTCTAGGACAGATGCAGCCAGGCCTGCAAAAGGTCTGACGTTGGTGACTACAGCTAACAGAGCTGGGGCAAAGGCGCTATAACGTCCAGCCTTTCCTTGGAATCCTGGAGTTGGAATGTGTCTAGTGCCCATCTAATGCCCCCTGTTCTGTTTGGAGGAAACCGGCCCGAGGCACTATCATGTGCCTTTCTCCCCACTTGCCCTGTATTCTTTTTTCCTCTACCATTCTGCTTTGTCTCTTCTTTTGTGGCATTAAATCAAAAGAGTTTAGAATGCGATGTAAAATAGGGGAGACTTCTACTTTTGTTGTTGATATTCACATCGCCTGTCTCCACAGCCACCAGTCGGCAGGGACCAGCCTGCTCAGCTCCACTTTGTACTGTCCCAGCTTCGTGACCTCCCA